AGTTTTTTATGAAAAAGAAATGGAGCATTTGGAAAATAAAAGTATTATTGCTGATACTGAAAAAAAATTCAATAGATGGGAATAATAGAATCAATACAACTGGAGACTGAGCTAGACTGGAAGATCAAGTTAAAGAATTCTCCAAGAACACAGTGACAGAGAATATAATGATGAAAAACATGAGGAAGTGGGATAGGATAGGGAAGATAGGGAAGATGTATCCAGAGGATATAATATCCATCTAATAGGGGATCCAAATGAAGATAACTAGGGAAGGAAAAAGAGACAGTGTAGTGAGGGAACAGTGGCCCTCAAAAGATATGACAGCACTCATTCATCTTATCCTGTCCATGTCCCCTTTGATTTTGTGCATGTCATGGGGTCCCCACTGTTAGAGAAGAGGGGTTCTCACTGATCCTGCCATGATAAATATTCATATTTTTGTCTTCTGCTGAGATGGTAGACTGGGTCCATGAGTCACATACCTAATCCATAGGGCAAATTTCATTAGGTTTTAAGTCCTGAGAATAATCCTCTGTAGCTTTATGCTCCACTTGCAGGGTCCACGAGTCCAACCTTTGGGCCTTGGCAGTGGTCCCATCAGCCTCTGAGGTCACGGCAGCAGCCCATTTGGCCTCTAGGCCACTCTGAGCAGCCCGACTGGCCTCTGCACCCTCTTGGCAGCTCTACCCTTGGAGTCATTCTTCCTGTTTCTTGAAGGGTAGCACATGTTTGCAGCTAAGTAGCTCTATCAGCCTATTTTCTGCTTGTAGAACTCCAGATTCATGTCTGTCTCATCTTTCATAAATTCCAAGTTTTCCATCCTTCTTAATGAGGCCTTCTCCATAACTAGAATATAAAAGTTACTCCACCTTTTCTTCCAGGGCTTTATTGTTGTGTTCTCTACAACCATTATTTATGGCATTTGTTTTTATGTACCACTTAAGGATGAGAAAAACTGGTTCCTAATTAATAGTCAGTTGTCCAGCATTAATTGATCAGTGCATTATTTAGCTAATGACACTATATACGAGTTTTATCATACATGTGCATACTTGATTTAATGCCACTTTGGCAGAATTAATTCTCTCTCTGTCTCTGTCTCTGTCTCTCTGTCTCTCTCTCTCCCAACCTCTGTCTCTAAGTACTGTTGTGAGCTCTCAGCCAGTGGGAGCTGGTATGTAGTGTGACCAATTGTATAAAACCATTCTTGTCCAATAAGAATAAGTACAGTATAGCTCTCATCTAGCGAATCTGCTACTTTGCTAACCATAGGGTGAATATATTCTGCAGTGTGTGTTATTTATTATGTTATGGCCTCTCTTTTGTTTGTTTTGTACTCTGAAAAGTTTGTCCAAAATGAGTGCTTAAATGTGTGAAAATAATATTGACCATGCTTCATATAAACAAGGTAATAGTGTTATAATGGTACTTAAAGTGGAAGTTTTAAAACTGCTGGTGGTGCTTTCCGGGAAGTAATCAAGGAAGCAGGATGTTAAGATCATCAAGAAGTCAGGTAAGGGACAACTGACATTAAGAAGCTCATGACAAGCATCACTATGATCTGGATTAACCAGCAATTGTATGAAGGAATTTAGAAAAATTATGGCAGTAGTCTCATCCCCATTTCAGAGAATCTGAATAGACTGCCAGAGTAGTTGCCAAGACAGGATACCAGGAAAGCATCTCCAGTGGGACTTTATAATAGTGATTCTTCAATAGAATTGATTCAGTTATGCTACTTTTTCTGGTAACACAACCCCTCCATTAAGTAGGGTACACGTGCACTAAACTCCTCTCCATATATGTGAATTTGTTTCAGGAATCAAAATTCTGCAATATTAATTTGTGTCCATTCCTGCATCAATGCAACAGTTTTAATTACTGGAGTTCTCTAGTGTTTTTATTGCAGTACAAAAATATTTTCAAAAATATTGTGAATATGTTCAATCACTTATTTTTCCAGATGAACTTTAGAAAAAGTTTGTTAAGTTCTCTTTTTCAAAAATCCTATTAGGATTTTGATTTGGCTTGTACTGACTAGATGATTAGAGGAAACTCTTGTCTTGTTCCTCCTCTCTGAGTTCATAATATATTTATTCAGGTCTTATCTACATCCCTTAGTAAAACTTTTTAATACAAATCCTACAGTATGGGAGTTTATAACTGTCATTTGGCAGGTTTTATTACTCTAAGTTGTACATGCTTTCTTCAAATATATATTTTTTCAATTGTCATATTTTTAAATTTTGTTTTGTTGATATTCAGGAGAGGCAATGATTTAATTTATCAGACCTGCAGTCATTTTATTGACCTCTTGTAGGAATAGTTTTTCTTTCAATTGTTGGATTTTTTTCTGGTGATAATCATGATATATGCAAATAATGCCAGTTTTTCATCCTTATTTTCCAGTATTGTTACTCTCTTCTTTTCCTTGCTTTTCTCCACTGGCTTAGAAATTTGTCTGATTTTAATGGGAATGTTTTCAATATTTCATCATTAAGTGTATCTTCATACATCTCTAGTAGATTTTCTTTATCAGGTCAAGCAAGCTTCATTCTGATTCTATTTTACTGATAATTTTATTTTTTTCACAATATTGTAAAGATAATTGTAGTAAATACACTTTATTATATATGGTTCATATAAATTCTTTTTAAAAACTTATGGAGGCTTTTTGTGAGCTATTTTTAATATTTATAAATGTTTTCATTGATGTTGGAAAAATGTGAATTATCTGCTGAATTTCCATAAATAGTTATTAAATTGTGATAATGGAGTTATTTAAATCCTCTAATATCTTTTCTTGATTATTTATGAGACAGTTTTGTTAAAATTTCCCCCTGTTAATGTAGATTATACATTTTTCTGCACATTGTCACTAATTTGTTTTTCTTTTTATATTTCCATGTATGATTCTTAAGTGCATAAAGATTCATGATGGTTGTAACTTACTGGGGAGTTTAATCAGCAAAACACATTACATTTTTTTTCTTTGATTAAAAGTATCATTCCTAATTCTTCTTTGTCAGCATTTATTTGGTATATTTCTCATGATCTCTTTATGCCTAAATTTTTGCATCTTCTGTAAACAGCATATCATTACATATTTTTCTGCCTATTCGAATAATTTTATCTTTTATAAGATTAATTTAATGACTAACTATAGTTGTGATGACATATATTTGGTATTTTCTATTTGCTATGTTTTCTTCCTCATTCATTTCCTATCTTCAGCTGGATTTGTTTGCTTCATTCATTGTGCCATTATAATGGACATCTCACCTTTTCTTTTTTCTAGGAGTTAGGAAGTAATTTATCTCATTCTGCTCTCTTTTGTCCTTCCTTGAATTTTACAAAACATTTAAACTCAGGTTTCTTATCAGTTACTACCTAGATTAAGGTAGTTAATGCATTTTGGCTAAACCCAACCTCTCAAATTTTGTTGTTATCACCTGGACTTTTATTTACAGATTTTTTAATAACTTGCTTTACATTGTGGCTCAATTTTTATGTGAACTTTATCTTACTAACTGTGATAATCTTCATGATAACTTCATGAAAAATTATTTTTCTATCAGTTCACTTCTTTGCTTGCCATTACCTAGTTTTTTCCTCTTAGTTTTACATATTTTTTATTTCCTGTATTTTCAAGTGATACCTTCAGGAAGCATTCATGGTGGTAAAGTTTCTGAGTACCTTAATATATAAAAATGCTTTAATTTTGCCCTCAAATTTAAATGATAGCCTGGCTGGGCAAAGAAATCTTGTTTAAAAATCATATTCCTCTAGAATAGCAAAAAAAAATTGTTCCATTTGATGTATTGCCTAGGAGAGCAAATGAAGGGTCTGACAGAAATCTAAATATTGTTTCTTTAAAGTTATCTTATTTATGTCTTACCCTTTAGAAGATTTTAGACTGTGTTTGAATTTTATTGGTGATCAGAAATTTCATGATATGACCAGATGTGGACCTTTTTTCCCCAGACACATGCAGACATTTTATTGGTTTCCCATACAAGGGACAATAACACCTATTTTTAAATAAAAATCTGAGAAGCCAACCAAATACAGAGAAGGGGGAGATGAAAAGTAAATGCTTTATTAAAAGGCACTACAATACCACTTGAAAAACCTACTACTATTTTAGTAGTGTTAGTAGGCTAAAATTAAGTTAAATCAAAAATATCTAATCAAATGTTAGAAATTACATAGCAGGAAGTGGATTTGCTCTCTAGAAGATTGGTACACTGATCATTTGGACCCAATAAGGTCAATCTGTTTGGAGGTAAAGTTAAGTCAAAAGGAACAGATATGATGGAGATTCTAAGATACATAGTCTCCAAACAGTTGGTGATGGATTCATCTTCTTCCTCTTAAGAAGCATTTGCTGCACTTTGCAGCCTCCTCTCATCATCCTACCCGATGGCTGTTCAAGCTGAAAGCTGTTGCTCCTACCTCACAGGGGGTTCAGGAAGCAGGTGTATAGGTTTGCGGATGCCCAGGGCTCTTGGTGCAATGACCATAGATCCTGGAGAACTTGTGCCGAGTGGTGGGGAGGGGAAAGAAGGGGATGAGTGGGGGTAGGAGATGGACAGACGGTGATGGTGGATTGGTTTGGCTACATTACTAATTGTTCTGAACAAAGAGCACCCTGAAGCACTCCCACGTAAAGAAGTCAAGGCTTCTCCAGTCACTCTCCAACACCTCCGTACAATACCCTCAAAGTCTGAAATAAGCTGTAAGGATTACGAAATCATCAAAGAAGCCAGAATGAGACAGCCCAGATAGGAAATCCCAACAATTTCTTCTTTCTTTCCCCAATTTAAGATAAACTCTAATACACTTGATATGGGATGTAGAAAGCCACATGGGAGTAAGCTGGCTCTTCTGCTGAACTTTCTGTCAAATACCCAGAGAAAACAATGGGCAGGGCATATTTTTATTTTTATTTTGTTTTACCTTATTTTATTTTAAAATGGAATAATCCCTGTGTTATTTTAATATAAAGAGACATGGGTGAATAGGTAGGAAACAGACTCTGCACTGTGAGTTCTCCTAATGGCTTTTGCAAGGCTCATAGAGATGTCAATTGCCTGTATTTTGGGGCAGTGCTTCATCTTATCTCCTGAGGTATGGTGTTGGTGACAACCACTGCTTCAAAGGATGCCCTGTTTATGCAATTAATGGCTGGGCCAGAAAAGATATAGTGAGTCAAGGCTACATAAACTCTAGTGGCTCTGGTGAGAGAAGTTTGTCAGTTGCATGGCAGGTCATACCACAAATGTCAGCCATGTCATCAACAAGAATAGCCACATGATCCTTCACATCTCCTACTATCACCATGGGTTTGACTTCACTGGCCTTCTTCTGTTTCTTGTGAATCAAGGCAAAGTCCACATTCAAACTGTCTGCAATGGAAGTCACTCTCTTAGCTCCACCAGTATCTGATGAGACAATAGTACAGTTCCTCCACTCAGACATTCTCTCTTATCCACTTCAGGACAGCTGGCTCTGCATACAAATTATCTCCTGGGATATCGAAAAAGCCCTGCATTTTAGAAGCATAGAAGCATGTGGTTCCATGGTGATGATATGGTCTGCACCTGCTATAGACAGCATATTTGCAGCAATCTTGGTGGACATTGGGGCCCACGTCTTGCCCTTCTTATCCTGCCAGGCTTAAGGGAAGCATGGGATGACTGCAGTAACCAGGCTGGCTGAGGCCATCTTGCAGACATTAATCATGATCAAAAGCTCCCCTGGATTTTCACTGATCTCTCCACAACCATTCTGCACAATATAGACATCTTCTTCTTGCACACTCTTGCTGATTTCCATGCAGGTCCCATGTTTGCTGAATTTCTTGGTCACAGCCTTGCCCAGCTCCAGATCCAGGTGGTCAGCACTGTATGGGAGCTGCCACTGAAGACTTTGATATTTGTCATTTTGGCCAAGTATCCTATGCACTCCATCCATGGATCACCACTGCCATCCAGAATGAAATGAAAGTCAGACCAGATTCTAACTAGCAGCTTCTGGTTGTTACTAGGTGGTTTACAGTATCTTCAGGCTTATGTCTTTTAAAAAAAAAATTCCTGTTGGCACCCATTTCACACTTTTAAACTAAAGAACCAAATCTTCCTTCAGTTCATGGATTTTTTTTCTTCTATTAGTGCCTATGTAATTTTCCTGGGACTGCTTAAACAAAATTAAATACATAAAATTATAAAACTTATACAAGGCAAAAGATATGTCAGTTTAAAAGGAAAGTTACAGACTGGAAAAAGTGTCTAAAATATATTTTAGAGTTCTTCCAGTTGAGTGAGAAAAAGATAAATTAAAAAGTTTGAAAATGGTATGAATAAACAATTCACAAGAAAAAAGGATAGTCATAAACATATGAAAAAATGCCAGTAATCACAAAATGCTTATTTTCACATGTCAGGTAGCCCAAAATCATTAGATAATTAATCTATAATTAGACTTTACAAGGGAAATTCTGCATATAACTTTTGACCCAATGTGTCTGCTTCAAGGAATCTTCTCCATAGAAATATTCACAAGCATCCCCAAAATATATTGATATTTTATTTCTTTAGTAATGCATTCAGTCAATATTTCCTAAGGCATCTGTATGTCAGGTGTTGTATCATTTAACAGGGTTTAAGATAGTGAATGACAAATGGTTACCTCTCTAGAATTGCTTATAGTAGCCAAATCTGGAAACTAACAAATGTCCATTGATAGGTAAGTTATTACACAGGCAGACATTACAGGGACTGACTTATGTGTAGTCATATGGAAATGTCTCCAACACATTTTTAAATGTAAAAACCCAGCCACCAAAATATGTGTAGTATAATATTTATGTATTTAAAATTAACTAATAGTCAAAACAACAAATCATTAGGGAAAGACTATTATGATTATCTTTGGAGAGGGAGTAGCTTGATGGGAGTTAGGGATGAAGAAGGACTGTCACATTTTATTGCCATCTGTTAATATAGTATTTAACTTTCATTAATTTCATAATTAAAAAAAGAATGACTATATATATATATATGATGGTTAAGTGTTTGTTAGCAAATTTTAACTACATAGCTTCCAAAGTGCATTGGGGTTGGAGGAATGGGCCAAGAAGTAATGGGAGGTACAATACATACCAGGAATCTCAACAAAAAACTGTGTTGTAAAAATAATGTAGGCATCAGGTACAGATCCTACATTTTTATCCTGCTAATTGTGTGTGTAGCCCCAGGTGGGAGAAGGGTGTTCCTGGCCCACGGTGAGTACCTCTATGACACTGGTGAAATCAAAATAAGTCAAGGGCAAGGGTAGGTTGGGAGAAAGGCTTTTATTCCTTACAGTTGCTATCCAGGCTCGGCACCATCTTTCTCCTCCAGCTGTGGTTCATGCTCTCCTTCCCAGCAAGAGCTCCTTGGGTGGGTCCTTGGTGACTGGCAGATGCCAGATCAGTCATGTACCAGGAATGGATGGGAGGAGAGAATGGCCATTTTCTCTCCACCTTTTGCCCCAGATGGTCGGGAGGCTCTGCAGTAGTAAACGCTATTGATATGTAAGTGAAGAAAGGCTAGGCAGAGATTCTGGAAATTCTGCCAGTTACCCCACAGTGTGTCTGACATTTAGTTCTAGGATATTTTGATTTAGTCAAAAACCAAGTCATCATTTTTTCACATTTTGAAATTACTAAAGAATCTGCTGAATACAGTTTCTCACCCCACTTTTGAGTTTCCTCACTGGGATGGGCTCACGGATAGGAAAAACTCAGAAATGGGTAGACAAGAGAAATGGGTAAGATCTAGCCATGTCTGTGAAACACATTAGTTTGCTAGGAAAAAAATCTTTTATATATCAAATGTGCTATTACTATAAAGTCATATACACAGCTATGTCAAAAAGGCTAATTCAAATGTCCTGCTGCTGATGAGTCACATGTCTCCCTGACAGCAATGTGCTTTTCTCCTCAGTTCAAACTCTTCACAGTTGACGTGCATGCCAGCTCATTTCTGTCCACACCCTTCATTCATGTTCTTTCCTATCATAAAATCAACAGACCCACCTATGCTATATAATTCTCATCCCAAGCCAGAGTACTTGCAGTGATTTCTAAAGAAAATTTTGTGTCTCAATTTAGCAGCATTAAAAAGTACTTGCAGCTTCAATTAAAATGATTTTTCTCTTAGTGTTCTCAATGTGTCACACATTTTCAGTTTTTAAAGAAAAACAAAACAGATTTTTAAATAGACATTATTACCTAAATAGGACTGAATGCTAATGTAAACATTAAAAACCCATAGTTGGTTGCATTTTCCTTGAGGTGTTAAGTAGGAGTAATTTTTGTCTTGCTGTTATTTTTGCTCCAAGCTCTGGCTGTTACAGCACCTCATAGTTCCAGGGATTTGTCTAGAATTATAAAATATTAAAGATAGAAATGGTTTTAGAGACCACCCAGTCTAACATCCCATTCTCTGGAACACAGACCCAGAGAAATGAAGCAACTTGCTTGGGATCTAACAGCTAATTAGAGGCAGTGTGGACTAGAACATGGGACTCCTGAATTTCCAAATAGGGCTTTTCTTGCTAAGCAACTTCTAGGCCTTCTATTTGAGGTTTTAGCGAATGAAGAAGGAATTCAAAAGTTGTGCAGAAATTTTTTGCATAAAGCTTTACTCTTTTATCAAACAACTGCAACAAAGAACAAAACCTCAAACCTCAGACTAGAAAGTCCTTTTACTTTTAAATATTATTTCCACAAAGAATCTCTGTTACATGGATCTCTTGCAAGGAAATTTAGCTCCTGTTTACTTTCATCTCCATAGGTTGAGAAAGATATTTATCTTATCATTGACTGTTTCTAAGCAAAGTTACATGTGGGAATGATGCCTATTGAATAACACATTCTCTCTATTTAAGCCATCATTTCTTAATAAATTACCTGGAAACAAAAATTGTGGTGTAGAGAAAAATGCTTATCTTTCTCCTTTCCAAGGTAAGCATATTTAAATGTCATCTCTACAGATATGTGAGAATTCTTGTATTTTGAAGGTCTTTTGAGTCAATACCCAGAATATGTATATTACCTTGGTAATAGTTTCTTGCTTTACTGATTATTCTTTTTCCCTTCACAATTCCAACATACATAATTCAAAGAGAGCTTGATCTATCTTGTTCAGCTCAGGAGAAAAGGAATTCAGTCAGTTTCTTTCAGAAAGTGAAGAAAACTGATTGTTGTATTTTAAGTAAAATAAATGCTTTCACTAAACATACTTGCAGTTGACAAAATGCTAGATGTTTAGGTGGCAATTATAGTTCTTTGATAAACTGTCAAATCTTGTCACAACACATGTTACAAACAAGGACAGATTTAGATGTCCTTTATGACAGCTTTATGTAGGTTGAGAATGTTTGGCAGTTAATTTCAAACAAGGAACATATTTTTCTTTCCAGCAGTTATCTGCTTGTTTATTATTAAGAGTTTCTTTGTGCCTTTAATCTTACTCATTTGACTCACAGCTCCAGATCATTATTGTAACATCACCCTACCTCATTTATTTTGTTCATAATATACACCCACAATACTTAAAGAAATTTTCCCACAGAGCTTTACATTGGTAGAAATGCTTTAAAGTTTGTTTTGTGATTGTTTTTAATTAAAGTTGACTACTGTGTGCGTTTACTGAGATTTCAGTTGGAAATCTGTCATTTTATACAATAGATGTGAAGATAGTGTTTAGGCAAATAAAGCTGAATGAAACAAATAAGAGAAAAGGAGAAAATTTTGTGATTTAGAAGTGTGATTTCAATTCTGAGCGTTATGTTAGACTCATGTGATAATATATAATTGGAATAACAGAGCAATATAGGGAGAATTTCCATAACTAGTAAATTGTAAATAAGAAAATCATACTTATATGAAATATTTTAAAATATTTTAAAGTGGTTTTTGATATGTATCTTTCCCTGCTTATATAGAATATTAGTTTCATGAAATCAGTAAAAATATACTAATGTTAATTATATTGACAAAATAAAGCTCCATTTATGCTATTCTAACCTCTTTTAAAGACATATTATTTTTTATCTTCACTTGTGTTCATTTATTTAATCCTCATAATAAACATTAAGACAGGCTGTGCATTCACATAAGTAACACTGAGTATGGTATGGGTTGGAAAGGTTCAGTGGTTCTCCAACTTCTAGGGCATCAGGATCACCAGGAGGTAGTGTTAGAATACAGATTCCTGAGCCCCACTCCCAGAGTTACTAATAGGATGTCTGGGGTGGAGCCCCAGACCTTGCGTTTCTAACTAGCCACATTGCATATTGTAAGGGGTACTGAAATGAGTACAAATCAAATAAATCAACTATACCTTTTATTTTTCCAAATGACAAAATAAATGTGATAGTATAAACTAGTGGCTTTCACAAGGGCAGCCACCAAAATGGCAGCACCTGGTTGCTTCTAAGCTTTGGCAGTTATGAGGAAAGCTGCTACAAACATCTGTGTGAGGGTTTTTGTGTGGACATAAATGTTCAGCTTCTTTGAGTAAATACCAAGAAGTGTGATTTCTGGATCATATGGTAAGAATAAGTTTAGTTCTGTAAGAAAGCACCAAACTGTCTTCCCAAGTGACTGTGCCATTCTGCATTCCCACCAACAGTGTCTAAGAATTCCTGTTGCTCCATGTCCTCAGCACCATTTGGTGTTGCCAGTGTCCAGGATTTTGGCCATTCTAACAGATCTGTATATCTACTGAGTTTTTTATTTTAATTATAATATTTTTCTTTTGAAGACATTTTTGTGTAACCCTTTTTTAATTCTACTGGGACCGTTTTTGGAGTTCACTGCTCTTTGAAGACATCTTCAAACTTGTTCTTATTTCAAACTGTTTTTAAAAACATAGTATAATAGCTGTTTTATAAA